TGTCTTGCCCAAAAAACACAACACAGTGTCCCCAGCCAGGACTTGAACCTGGACCACTTGGTCTGGAGACAAGGGCACTAAACATGAGGCCACCATGCAGGTCTGTCACTAATGTTTGAAGTAAGCGGGGAAATGAAAAAAGTAACCGTAGATAGCGTCCGCACATGCATTTAAGCTTGATGCATTTGCCACAATACAATAGCTTTAAGCAAGATATATAAACCCCATAGGTCCAGATTAAGCTATGGAGAAGCCTGAAGACAAGTTTATTTTTCCTAGGGGTTCTGCCAACACTTTGCAGCAAAATTAAGTTAAGAAACTCTAGAGAAGGTGTCACTGGCAACATTTTTATCCACTCTGAAAGACTTAAGGACAACCTTTAATGTCCGTTTCAGTCACACTGTATGTCGCATACACAATGCAGACACTTACTTCATGTTATATTCCACTAGAAATTTCTTCTCAGTCTCAAAAAACTCATCAACATCCTCAAAAGAGTGAACAGTTTCAAGGTTAGCTAAAATAGCAGTTTACAAGAAAAAAGTAAATGTTCAGGCTTTTAAATCATCAATCTAAGAAAAAACAAGCATTTTCATAAGTGAAAACTCCGTCCATTGATAAAATGACTAATTAAATAAGAATGTTTGAGGGACAAGTAAAGGCCTGAAGTTTTCAAGCATGTTAGGAAAAGTTATCCCTAAGAGACCGCCACAGTGTACTATGTTAGGTCTGCTTCGTAGCACGTTAATAGCAGCTTGACAATCTCACAAGGACAAGAGAGTTGGAAGTAAAATTTATTACAGTTGAGCATGTATCAAGTGTGATTCTAACCCTCCTACCCATACAAAACAACATGCCCTGGATATGACTTCTTCCATAGAAGATGAGCCAGGAAGGATTCAGAACAGCCATCAAAATCCACTGCCTGCCCCTACCCTAAATACTGTAGAAACAGTGGATGAACATCCCAGCAATCTACCTGGACATTATGACACATGACTTGTACTGTACATGGTAAGTATGGTGACAATAGTTGATTGTCATCACCCAAATCAAAAGCTTGTAAGTTTTTGTTAACCTAAGATTCTCATAGGATAGCCTTTATAAATACAAAAGTAATAATTTAAAAAAAAAATTATTTATTGTTTAATCAGCCACTCACCTTTTGTCCAGACAGAAGTACTTCATCAACTCCTTTGGCAAGGCCCTTGAAGAGGCCTCCAAGTCGTTCTTTCTTGTTTTTGCCTCGTACATTAAGCTGCATTACAAGAAAAAAAAAATGATTTGAAAACAAGAATGATAACTAATCTTAAACTGATCTTGTGAGTTCTTAAAAGAGATTTCTCAATTCTGTTGTTAACATACTTCTCCTTTAAACTCCAAGAACACATTAAAGTTGCTGTCTTTTCTAAGAGTAGGATGAGCAGCCAAACGCGTCAAGAACACCTCGTGCATGGCTACAGTTTTCTTGAAAGTAGCAAGATATTCCCTGAAACAAAACAAAAACGACAAAATGAGTGACAAGATGGTCTGTTAACCCTGACGGTGTCACTATAATAGCATTCTTACGCTTCAAGTTCTTGCTTCATTTTCTGGAATTCCTCTTTTGTCATTGTATTTTCACCTGAAGTAAAGAGGACATGGAATTGTCAATGATACTATTTCAGTCAACTATTTTATTGTATACATTACTGGTAGATTGTGATTGTTTTTTGTTCCATGTACATATGAAGAAGCTAGTCATAAAAGGGGATAAGTGACGATTTTGGTTGCTTTTCTTTTTTTTGCTCCAAATTAGCTGAATTTTTGCATGTGGTCTTCA